AAATTTATTTATTTTTGGCTAAGTTTTGGTTGATTTCAATTCAATTTGGATTCATCGATTCCATACCAAACTCCAAGGTTAAACCAACTTTGCTTTTCCGAAGTAAGCTTTCTTTCTTGTTTGATATTATATATGGCAGACTTTTGAACTAAAATTTTATAATATTCTCAACTCAAACCTTAAAAATGAATTAGAATTTATCGAGACAACAAGTATTACTAATTACGAAAAAGAACAACTAAATTTATATTTAAAGATCAATCATATTAACCCTAATTTTAAAACAATACAAAATCCAACAATTTGAATATACACACCCAAAATATATAAATCTTGAATTTATTTTGCATTGTATTGACACCAACATCCCCATGTGGAATCTCCCACACAGGCCTCATCTGCGCCCAGGCCGTGAGTGCGGAGGCCAAGACCGACAGCAGCAGCGGAAGTCGGACGGTGGCTGCGGAGGACAGCAAGAGCTCCGCCTCCACACCACTGGAGACGGAGGCGACCAAGGACAAGCGACAGGTGAGCGCTAAAGAGACGCCTCTGTATCCGAACCACCGCAGCTCGGAGGCAGCTCCCACCGCCGGCGATGATCCCGAGGACGGACAGGAGACAATTTACGGGTCCAAGCCCAACCAGTTCATCATCCGCCCCATAGCCCCGCACCAGCATCAGCAGCACGAGTCGCACCAGGAGCCGCAGCTGCGCAACTTCGCGGCGGCCAATTCCCGGCCACACGCTGCCCAGTTGCTCGAGCAGAGCCAGGAGGTGAGTTGCGGGAGAAATAATGAAGGGGTTATATGGGTTATTAAGTGGTGGAAAAAATATATCTAATAATGGTAATATCCTTTAATATATAAATATTAAAATTAGCTTCGATCTAAATTAAGTTACACCCAAAGACCGCTTAATTGTAGGAAGCTTGACAAAGCCTCGCCCTGGATCCTTCACCTCTGGGGGGAATGGGTGAGCCCATTGATCGACTGTCCAACTGACGGATTGCCTTTCGCCTTTTGGAGGGATTGCAGCGTCTGTTTGTTTTGTGCCAATCTCGGGGCGTTCCATCGACATCGCGACTGTTGTTCGCTGTCTTGGGTCTTGTCTTGGCCCCGCGGCCATCAGACAACGGCCTGTCGGACGGACCTAACCGAGATCGGACGACCCGGGATCGTGACTTGGCATCGGCGGCAGCCACACGATTCTTTGCAAAATGCCGGATGTAAACATCTCGAAGCCAGGCCAGACAAAAGCCAAAGGCCCCCCAATCCCAATCCCAATCCCAAAACCGAATCCGAAATCCCAAGTTAAATTTTTGACAAATTCTCCCTTTCGCCGAGGCCGGGAAACCTTGACCAATATCTTTTCGGAACGAATTGCAATTTTGCAAACAAAGGCAATTGCAATTAGCCAAAGACAATGTTTATATTACAAAATAAATACATATTTATGTATATAAAGGAAAACAAATTAAAAGCGCCGGCGAATATAATAATGATAATACTTTTATTATAAATGCAATTGGCAAAACTAAGTCACGACATGACAGCGACGACAGCAACAAATGCATAATTGCAAAATGATTATTTGTCTTATTACGCGTCAAATGACAACAACAACAACAACAACAACAAAAACATTTTCCACCGCCTCCCTTTTCCACTCGATTTTCCATGGATCTTTCGGGGTCTCTCCTTCAAAATGCAAAGACATCGCGATGGAAAACAATGGTCGGTGTCGGGTTGTCGTGGGAAGAAAGTTGACATAATGTTATAATCACCCCACTTTTGGTCTGTCAGCTTTGTGTCTGTCTGTCGCTCGATGGCGCCTTGACTTGCTGGCGGCTTTATTTGCCATAATAATGGGAACCCATAGATGCCACACACTGGCCAACAGGTTTTGTGAAATATTCACATTTTGCAAGGCAAGGCAAGGTAGGTTAAGGGACCTTCAAACTTGGATTTTATTGGTTATTTTAAGACTTTAAAAATGGATGTATGTTTATTGAAATTTAAGATAAATTCTACAGAAAGGTGTTCATCTAACACAACCATATATCCACATATCCTTTGTTTAAGTTCCTATTCTTGAATAATTTCAATACGTAATCATTTCGTGGAAACCCCCTAAGTAATCAATAGATCAAGCTTCAATAAAATGTATTACATTAATAATAGAAAATATCTAGCCCACCCAAAAGCTGCTCTATTTCTTTCGAATATATTATATCGGCATTTCCATTGATCTCTTTATAAGACCCACACACAAGGAGATTCCCTTTTATGGCCAACCCTTGTTGCACAGTGTAGTGTTTTTTTTTATGTCTTGCAACATCGAAGAGCCAAAGACTTGGTAGTTGGTTTGTTGTTGGCGTTGCCAAAGTTTGCCACAAGTGTTATATAAACTCATTTTTTAGATGCCACGCCATTCTCACAGCGTCGCCGCTGCTGCTGCTGCTTTGAAGCACCTGCAACAAGTTACCGCCGTTGTGGTTGCTGCCAGTGGCTCTAGGCAGGGGTGGCAGAGGGCAGTGGCGGTGGCGGTGGTCATGGAGTGACTCCACATTAAACAGCTGCTGACATTGGCCGACGGCGGCTGAGTTCCCACACCCAACGTCACCGTCACCCCCGCCCACAGAAACCATTATTAAATCGCCCCCTCTCACTTTTCGCATTCGTATCCGTATCTGCTAGGTGCAGCACTATGTTTATCTGCAAGATATCATGCGCCATCACCAGCCCAAGGCCCTTGTGGCCTCAGGTCAAGGCAAGGGTGCGGCCAGTGCGCCCAAGAAGTCGTCCACTCCCGTTGCCGAAGAGGATCAGGAACAGGAGCAGGAGGCGGAGCAACGCTATACGGTGTCCATTCAGCCGCAGCCTCAGCATCACCAGCCACGCCCCCGTCAGTATCAGGGAGTGGGAGGTCCATACCAATTGCCATTGCCGTTGCCAGCTCCGCAGCATCAGTCGGTGAACCCGCAACAGCAGCAGCAGCAACCACAGCAGGTATTTAATATCTCATAAAGTTTCTGATTAAGTAAATTAAAATCCATACAATTTAAGCCCTATCAGGTTATTCCCGAGGAGCAGTTTCTAAAGCTCCTAGAGGAGGAACTACAGGCCAGAGCCTACCATGAGCAACTACGACAGCAGCAGCAGCATCATCAACAGCAGCAGCAGCAACAGCACGTGCAGCAACCTCAACCCAAGTCTCTGCCCATTCATAGCACAGCTGCCACTCACAAGGTCCTGCAGCAGGCAGATCCTGTCCTGGGATTGGGTGGTTATCGGGAGCGATTAGTGGCCGAACAGGAGTTGGTCTCTCCCGCTTACTCTCACCCCAGAGGTGGACCCAAGTACCTGCCTCTGCCTCAGGCCCAACAGATCCAGGAGGACGATGAACCACAACAGCAGCCACAGCGCGTGCAGCTCCACAAGCCAGTGCCGCATCCGGGACAGCAGCAGTACCACGGCCTGCCGCCACAGATTGCCTACTACCAGCCACAGATAAGCTACAAGACCCTGCCTAATCATCCGCTGGCCAAGTCCTCGCTGGAAAGCGAAATTGAGAAACTTTTGGCTGCTAATAAGCCGGGACCAGGCCTGGCCTACGTGGACAGCAGCAATGAGCAGGTATCAATCCGTCAGCCACCGCCCCAGCACCCACCACCGCCCACCTCGCATCCGGCTTTGAGGCAGCCCAAGGCCTATCTGGCCAGCACTCCCAACTCCCTTCTGGATGCGAATAACCAACCGTTTGTGCCGTCTCTCTTCAAGTTCAGCAGCTTCCAGCAGCCGACTCCCATTTATCCCACTGCGGAGCCCAAGCGATTGGGACCTGTGGTCTATCCCACACAGCATCAGGCCAATCAGCCGCAGCCATCGCAGTATTACTACCAGGAGGCAGCGCCCACGGCAGCTCCCAAGCCGAGTCCCTTACCCAAGCAATATCATCGGTCCAAGCACTACAAGTTGCCTTCGCCCACGAAGGCTCTGCTCTATGCCGATTACGAGCGTCAGGGACCATCTCCCGCGCCGCCATCCAACTTCTATCCCAGTCCCCCGGATCCATTGAAGCATGCCCAGAGAAATCTGGCAGTCACACCCACAGCTCTGCCGCTCCACGCTGAATATCCTTCGCCGTCGCCTTCGCAATCTAGCATTTATGTGTCCCAGGGTACGGGTATTGCCACGCCGTCCAGAGCCACGCCCACAACGGCTCCGGTACAAAAGCTGCGTACCTTGGATGAGGTCAAGCAGCTGAATCTGCCGCCTCCCAATGGGAAGCCACTAACCCAGGCGGAGTTCCAGGCTCTTGTGGATGCTGGCTATCCGGTAAAGGCTGTGCCCGTGCCCGTACCCGTCCCATACGAGCAGTACGTGAAGGATCATCCGGAGTATCGTAATCATCCGCCAGTCGACTATGCCCACATCATGCGTTTGGCCACTCGCCAACTGTCCGCCCATCAACAGCACAGATCGCTGGCCGCTCCCTCGGAGCCGTCGGTTAAGATTCTGTCCACTCCCTCCGCCGGCGAGCTGCAGCAGCAGCATACGGCTACGGGCATTGGCGGCGGCAGTGTCACTTATTTGCAGCCCATCGAGGGTCAGTCGCATCCTCATGCCCATGTCCATGCGTTGCAGAAGCGGAGACCACGCGATGAGCAGGACACAGCAGTGGCGGGAAGTGAGCCCAAGGCGGCGGCTCCAGAGGCCAACGAGCAGTCCGCGAAGGAGAAGGTGCAGTGAGTGAGACCGGGTCCTGTTTTAGTTAAAATGTCCTTGCCTAGGTTCTAAGTATTGTAAAAATGTTTCAGCACTTGCGTATAATGTTAAATTATAAACAAACAAAATAAAAATATGAAAAACTAACAAAAGAAATGGGAGAATTGCAAAGCGAGGAAAAGTATCCTTTGGAGAGGTTTTGAATCCAATGAAGTTTAAAGATACAATCCTAGTTATCATCAAGTATATAAATACCTTTAAAACAATCCACAATTAAAACTTAGTTCAGCTTTATTATTTGCCACTATTCTCCCTCCTTCATCCATCGAAACCCTCACTTAGTTCAGGCCGAAGGGCGAATTGCTGTGGCTATTGCTGCTGTCCGCCGAGCTGAGCGTATCCGGAGTGGCTGCCTCGCGTGCCTGTATTCGCGAGATCTGCGGATCCCGCTTTTCCTTATCCTTGCGATCCCGCTCCTTGTCCTTATCCTTGTTGTGCTTGTGCTTGTGTTTATGCTTGTGCTTCTTCTTGTCCTTCTTTTTCTTCTTCTTAAGCAATCCGTCGCCGGACTTGAACTTGCTCTCGTCGTAGCTGCTCTCGTATCGCGTGGAGTCGGCCACGTCAAGCATCATTGAGGAGTTATCGTCCTCAGCGTAGATTTCGGTCTTCATCCGCTTCGTGAGCTGATGGGTCTCGGGAGCTTCGTCATCTGCAGGATGGATCTTCACTTTGGTCTCGCTATCGTAGGCCTCAACATTGACTGGATCATCCAGGACGGTGATTTCCTCACTGCGCTCCAGCTTGATGATTTCATCACCCACCTCGAAGGCCTCGGTGGCCGTGCGCTTGATGGTGACCATGCCGGGCTTATGTCGCTCTTGCGGCTCATTGTCTAGGCTTTCGCCTAGTGGGGGAGGCGGTTTCGAATCGAGGCTTTTCTTGTAACCACTAGTGCTATTATCTTTCATCAGATCCTTGTAGAAATTGGTATTCTCGCTGGCCTGCAGGCAATTCGGTCGCTTGTTACCGTATAAGGCATAGTACAGATCAACGATGTCGCAGCGCAACTTGGTGTCGTTACCCAGAGTGTTAATGCTCAGCCACAGACGATCCACAAGGTTTGGCTTGTCCAATCGACTTCGCGACTCACGTGTGAAGGGCGGGTTGTCGATCAGCAGCTGGGCCAAAGCATGACGGGCAGCCGGATCGGGATCGGTCTCTAGTAGCGTGATCAAGTGGTCCAGGTCCTCACTGCGCCCGTCTACCTTTACGAAGTCGACAAGACATTCCATAGCTGCGATGCGGAGATCCAAAAAAATTCCATATTGCGAATAGCTGCGGTAAATATGCGGCAGCGAAGGCAGGTGACCGAACTTCTGCAGCTTACGGATAACCTTCAGGCAGGACACAGAAACCATGTACTTGTACGAGGGGAGATGCTTCTCCAAATTCAGCAGACGAGTCACTTCATCCAGCACCAGTCTGTGGAGGGGTAAGAAAACGTATCAATCAGGGATCTTTGATATCTCCCCTTTGCATTACTCACTTGGCATCTGTGGAAAGACTGTCTGTGGTAATTTGAGTACCATGCATCGCCACGGACACCACTGGGGTCAGAGTTTCACCCAAGGCTTCAATCAAAGCGGCTCTGTAGTAGGCATCCGTGTAGTGGTTGCGCGAGTTCTCGTTATACTTGAAGAGATCAAAGAGGAAGCGCATAACTTCCGGTGGGCAAATGCCGTGCGATGTCCGCAGACCTAAAAAAAGGCAAAGTGATCCTTTAGATAAAGGTTTTCTTAATTTAGATACTGATTAACCCTCACCTGCCATGGCCACGGGTATCGCCTTTTGCAGGAAATACAGCTGGAAGTTGGAAAAATTGTTCAGCTTGATTATGTGCGGCGCACTGAAGGATCCGAAAAATTTTCGGAATATATTCAGCATAGCTGGTGGACCGCTCCAGGAAGCCACCATCTGGTTGGCGACCTTGGTTAGGCTATGGGCTGCCTCACAGCGCACCTTGAAGAAGCAGCGCTCGCTCTCGATGGTGTCGGTCAGAGCGAGTCTAGTCGCATTTGTGGGGTACTTTTGTAGAGCCTGAATGGCCTGAAACTGGGCAGTAACATCGCGCTCGTGACGGAGTTGGTATTGCCACTGGAAATCCGGTTGCTCAATGATCAAGTCACGCAGCAGAATCATCTCCGGATCGAGACGTATCCAAAGCACGGGTGAGTCGCTAAAATAGGGGTATTTTAGACCTTAATCCGTAAAGAATTTGATAATAAACTCACTCCATTGCTGATAAATCCATGTCCACCTCCTCGCCAGTGCACAGCGGGATCTTTTTCTTCTTGTTACGCCTGCTCTTCGAGTGACAGGTAATGTCCGCCTTCACCAATGTATTCTCAATCTGCAGAGTGTGCTTAAAGGTGCCATCCAACTCCTGAAGCTGCACCAGCAACGGACCATTATACTTCCTTACGCCCCGCTGATTCACAAAGTCCTGTCGAATCTCCAACTCTATGGTGTTCCTCTTGCGGTTGAACACCGAGGTCAGGGAGAACTTGGCGTGACCGCCAGTGCGCACCCACTGGTCCATGAACACCGACATATCCTTGCCGGTGACTGTGAATATAGCCTTGATGAAAATGTTCGTAGAGATGAGCAGCTGCGACCAGAGTCCGGCGCCTATCTTCGTAGACGCCGCATTGGTGGCCAGGGCCAGTTGCTTGTTAAACACCTGGATGAGCAGTTCCTGACCGATTCGGTGCTCCAACATACGAATTACCAAATGCGCCTTCCGTCGCATTGCTTCCACATACTTAGGCGACACTGTGTGCAAGCTCTTAATGGGGAAATAGTGAAAAATCTCCTGCTGCTTGCTAGCAGCCGCTGCTGGATTGGTACTGGAGACGGGCAGGGGGGCCGGCGGCTGACTGCAATCGAGAATGATGCCGCCGTACTGCTCCTCGTACCGAACTACCCGGGCCAGTTCCGATTGAACCCACTCACGGTACTCGTTATTGCCGAAGCACTTCCTAGAATACAGGCCGCACAGATACTCTGCAATTCCCTTGGCCAGCCAGGTGTCTGACCAGTGGTGCGACGTGATGAAGCAGCCGAAAAACTGCTCGGCCACAGCCCGCGACATAAAGGTTCGCGACACGTACGTCTGATCGATAATGGCGATGGAGTGCAGGAGGTTTACCGAAACAATGCTCATCGTCGCATAGGCACTGATGTCCGTGTCCAGCTCGTCTACAAACACCTGTTTGTAGCAGGAGAAGGGGTAGCGCGTGGAAAGGGTCTCCTCGAAAAATTCGAAAGCTTCATGCAAATAGCGCACTGTGTTCTTTAGCAGGGGAAGCATGCCCGGCAGACAGAAGTGGGTCACCTCGTGCATGTGCGGATCCACATAGATCTCGAACTGGCCCACTGCAAGGGCGATGTTGGGTGCGCACACGGGAGTGGTGACCGTGTAGTGAAAGGTCTTCCTTCGCAGATCGGGCGTCATTATAACTTCCACTAGTTCTCCGCAGGAGACTGCAGTCAGATTTTTGTCCACCGTGAACTCCAGTCGCCAAGTACAAGGATCTGCGAAGCTGTCCACGCAAGGGAACCACAAACGTGTGGAGTTCTCATAGCAATTGGTGAACATGTGTGAACAGTTAATCTGCGAATCTTCATCTGACGAAGCCGGCGGTATAACGAAATGAACACCGCTTTTGGGGTCCTCCAGTGAAAACTCGATGCGGATGCGCAGACCCTGGCCCTCCTGGATCATCGAATACCCCTCCGGCGGCACAGTGATAAACAGCTCGCCGTTGTTCGCATCCGGATCGGTCACCTGGGCGGCCTTTAAGTGATGTTTAGAGTAAACTTCCAAGGAGCGGCTCTTTGGCTCCTTGTGTGTAATATCCTGGAAGGGATCGAAGTACACGAACGCTGCCTGGCAGACGTCATTCAGAAGGACGCTGTAGATCCGCATCTGCTTGGCATTCAGGCGGATGAGGCGCAGGTTCTCGCTGTTCGGCACAATGGTTAGCTCCACAACGCCCTAAAACAGATGATAATGGGTAAATTTCACATCCTTTCATATATATTCGACCTGTTCTTACAATTATACTCTTTCTCTCGAAACTGATGCCCGTGAGACTCACAACCTGATGCGCCGTGCTGGTGGAAATGAAAAAATCGTTAATTTGGTGTTTCCACGAGTGCCAGTGGAATACTTATAATTTAAACGGGCGCAGCGGCACCTCCGGCACCTCAGGTAGCGTCTCCATCGTTTATTTGTTCCAACTTCTCGGGGATTTTACAATAATTTCAGTTTGTTATCAAAAATTAGGAGCATTGTTTGACTCTTTCTTCTTCTTTTCATGAATGCCGACGGGCTAAAAAATACCAAACGCCTTAACACAACAATGGCAACTCTGGCGTGATAGTGCAGCCCTGCATACGTAGCTTAACCTTTATGTAGTTATACGTGCTTAGTGCTAACTTGTAAGTTTAATACTAAAAACGATTTAATTATTTCTCTATTGAACATATTTAAATTTAGAGAATTATTGAACATTTACATTTTTAATTTTATTTACTTACTTGAATTATAAAATGAAACGAAATATAAATTTAATATATAAAACTATTATTGGTCAACATCAAGCTTAGCCATATGACTTTTGGTATTGTTTACATCTTCATTCAATTATAAAACTAATTTATAAACTAAATAATTATCTCTGTTTTTAGTTAACGTCCCTTTGTAATTATAATAATTTGTTTGATTTATATTAACGCACAAGGGTTAAAGATTATGAATCATTTACCGAGAAAGTTAAATTTGGATACTTCTCCCATTTAAAGCGTTCAATTCCCAACGAGTCAGCAGTTTTAGCACGGCAGCGAATTGTTCAACATCTGGATCCACCTAGATTGTAGTTTTTTCCCCATCTGCAGCGCCATTTAACCGAGGAAGTGGGAAAAACCTGAGGAATTCCAGGCAAGAGCGGACAAAAACCCAGTGAAAATGTACGGCATTGATAATTACCCCAAGAATTATCATGCGAGTGGCATTGGCCTTGTCAATTTAGCGGCCTTGGGATACAGCAAGAATGAAGTAAGCGGCGGAGCAGCCAGCGATGGAGGCGCCAAGCCAAAGGCGGGGCTCTACCCCTCACTCCCATACCCATCGTCCGAGTCCGTGGGTGGCATGCCGTATGTGGTGAAGCAGACGAGTCACGCACAGAACACCTCGTACCCGGGCCCTGGAATGGGCATGGGCATGGGAATGCCACAACCGGGAGCAGCGCCATCGGCGCCCTATCCAAGTGCCACACCATTTCCCGGCGCTGGTCTCTATCCCAGTCTGCCATCTGCCCAGTCGTTTTTGCCGTATCCCTCGGCTCCGCTGGCGCCTTATCCAACGGGTCTGCCCTATCCTGGTGGAATGCCGCAGCCGAATCTGCCATATCCAGCTGCTCCACTGGCTCCGTATCCGAACGCCATGCCCGGCTTTCCCAGCATGCCGATGCCGTACGCCCCGATGCCCACCAGTCCGGCTCCGCAGCAGCAGGGAGGAGGATTTCCGGCTCTGCCTTATCCGTCGGCTCCGCCACCGGCCAGTGCACCCACGGCGGAGGAGGAGCCTTCCGTGGGCGTAGCCGAGTTGAGCTTTACGAGCGTTAAGGTGCCCGAGAACCAGAACATGTTCTGGATGGGCCGAAAGGCCACTAGCAACCGACAGACAAGCGTTCACGGAACCGACTTTGCCACCCTGCGCGAATCTTGCGTAGCCAATGGAACCATGTTCGAGGATCCCGACTTCCCGGCGAACGATGCTTCGCTGATGTACTCGCGGCGACCAGATCGCTACTACGAGTGGCTGCGTCCCGGCGACATCGTAGATGATCCTCAGTTCTTCGTTGAGGGCTACTCCCGATTCGATGTCCAGCAAGGCGAGCTGGGGGATTGCTGGCTCCTGGCGGCAGCCGCAAATCTTACGCAGGACTCGAAGCTGTTCTTTCGCGTGATTCCGCCGGATCAGGATTTCCAAGAGAACTATGCTGGCATCTTCCACTTCAAGTTCTGGCAGTACGGCAAGTGGGTGGAGGTGGTAATCGATGACCGCCTACCCACTTATAATGGTGAGCTGATCTACATGCACTCCACCGAAAAGAACGAGTTCTGGAGCGCCCTGCTGGAGAAAGCCTACGCCAAGTTGCATGGATCCTATGAAGCTCTTAAGGGTAAGGAATCATTATATTGTGTCTCTACCTATTTGGGTTGAGTTTTCCGTGTTGAACTCTTATGGTTACGTTCTTTTAACAACAAATGATAATTTTTAGGCGGCACCACGTGCGAGGCCATGGAAGACTTCACTGGCGGCGTTACCGAGTGGTATGACATCAAGGAGGCTCCTCCAAATCTATTTAGCATCATGATGAAGGCCGCTGAGCGTGGCTCAATGATGGGCTGCTCTCTGGAGCCGGATCCACATGTGCTGGAGGCGGAGACGCCCCAGGGTTTGATCCGTGGCCATGCCTACTCCATTACCAAGGTGTGCCTTATGGACATTTCGACACCGAATCGGCAGGGCAAGCTGCCCATGATCCGGATGCGAAATCCCTGGGGCAACGACGCCGAATGGAGTGGTCCGTGGAGCGACAGTTCGCCCGAATGGCGGTTCATTCCGGAGCACACGAAGGAAGAGATCGGTCTGAATTTCGATCGGGATGGAGAGTTCTGGATGTCTTTCCAGGACTTCCTTAATCACTTCGATCGCGTGGAGATTTGTAACTTATCGCCGGATTCACTGACTGAGGACCAGCAGCAGAGTTCACGCCGCAAGTGGGAGATGTCCATGTTCGAGGGAGAGTGGACTTCCGGTGTAACGGCTGGCGGTTGTCGTAATTTCCTGGAGACATTCTGGCACAACCCACAGTATATTATCTCACTGGAAGACCCAGACGACGAGGATGATGATGGCAAGTGTACTGCCATTGTGGCTCTGATGCAGAAGAACCGGAGAAGCAAGCGCAACGTTGGCATCGACTGTCTGACCATTGGCTTTGCCATATATCACCTTACGGACAGGGACATGCAGGTGAAGCCGCAGGGACTTAACTTCTTCAAATATCGAGCCTCTGTAGCTCGCTCTCCGCACTTCATCAACACGCGAGAGGTGTGCGCTCGGTTCAAGTTGCCGCCTGGCCATTATCTCATCGTTCCTTCGACTTTCGATCCCAACGAGGAGGGTGAATTCATCATCCGTGTCTTCTCGGAGACGATGAACAACATGGAAGAGAACGACGACGAAGTAGGCTTCGGCGAAACAGACGACCGCATTGCTCCGGCTCTGCCGCCGCCGACTCCGAAGGAGGAAGACGATCCGCAGCGCATTGCCCTGCGTCGCTTGTTCGACAGTGTGGCCGGAAGCGACGAGGAGGTTGACTGGCAGGAGCTGAAACGAATTCTAGACCACTCCATGCGCGACGTCATGGTGGGCAACGAGGGCTTCTCCAAGGACGCCGTACGTTCGATGGTAGCCATGTTGGACAAGGATCGCTCCGGCCGCCTGGGCTTCGAGGAATTCGAGGCCTTGCTTACCGATATTGCCAAGTGGCGGGCGGTGTTCAAGTTGTATGACACTCGTCGCTCAGGCAGCATCGATGGCTTCCATCTGCGCGGAGCCCTCAATTCGGCTGGCTACCATCTGAACAACCGGCTGCTGAATGCCCTGGCCCATCGCTATGGCTCGCGAGAGGGCCAGATTCCCTTCGACGACTTCCTAATGTGTGCCATCAAGGTGAGGACATTCATCGAGATGTTCCGCGAAAGGGACACAGACAACTCGGACACAGCCTTCTTCAACCTGGACGACTGGCTGGAGCGGACCATTTACTCGTAAATCACAGTCAATTGATACTAATCTAATCCTAAGTGCCACGCATACTTAAATTTACGATATGCATTAATCATGCAAGAGCAGAGCATCACGCCGTACCATGACCATATTGCCTGAAGATCAGGAAAGAGAGATACACTCACTAAGCCAACAAGAGAATCTTATCGTATAACGAAAGCCGGAAATACACAGAATCACCGAGTGGCGAAATTGAAGTGGCCTTGGCATGAGGCACGAGGTGGCGATACAGAATAAACACGATATAAAACCCGTATACACAACACACTAAGATATATACACATTATATATGCGGCGTTTGCTGGAGGGATGACTAAGAGAGCATCCATAATGTGAGTTCTATGAGCACCTCGCCAAGAGCCTGAGATTGCCAGTACAAACTAAAAAGTGCATTATTCTACCTTACATTTTCTACGCGAAACTCAAAGCAGCCATCAATTACGCATTAACGTTTATCACTAAAGATATAGAATTGAATGTTCATATATATTTTTGTAATACCGCAGTATATCGTATGTGTTTGCCCAGGTGCTTGCACTAATGCCAATCAAAAGCGCAGCTTTGTCCAACAAATGTTAATGTTGTCAGGGAAAAAATCGACACAAACTGATCCAATCCACTTATCGAATAATTGTATAAAAATAGTCAAAAATCAGTACATTTATCAATTTAAATCCCCTCCTTTTGTATTTATAAAGTAATCTCAAGAAAGTATCAATTGCAACCTAAAGATCAAAACTAACTAAAAGTAATCTATATTGGTAAGAGGCTTTTTCTTTCAGATATATGTATGTATGTACCTTTGTTTTAAACTAATCAAAATTATTTAAATTTATTTGTAATTGTTACTGTCTAAAATTTAATTGTTTTACGCATACATTTTTTTATGTAAATAAATAAACTGCAGTTCTGCACGATAATTTCAACTATTTGACTAAGACCACTACGGTATCGCCAGATGGAACACCAGCATCGATCATAATCTGCTTCATTTCATCCAGGTAAATGTCGTTATCGAAGGCCAATTGCTGCAAGACCTCCAGAAAGTCTTCATACTCCAAGCGCCATTTCCTTTAATGGGAATTAATTGATATACGGAGGAATCGGTTGATACATGTACTTACTTACTTATAACGCATGTAGATGAGACCCGTTTGGGTGCGTGATATGGGAGTCGGCATAAGCTTGGCCTGCTCCAGCCAGGCATCTAGTTGCGAGAGCAGAATGCTATCGAACGTCTCGTTCTCGATTTCCGTGGGTATTACCTGAGGCAATATGATTACAAATGTTTCTATATTTCCCATTTGAGCGATGCGTCATACCTGGTGATTGGCATACACCGTAAAAAGAGTGTCCAAGGTGTGCTTCTTTGGTTTATCTTCATCATCGGCCATGACTCCTCTCAAGAAGATCTCTACGATTTGCACTCAATAAAGCTAATTTTTCAAAAATAACAGGAGCGTTTGCTAGGCAGATAAAGAAAAGTATTCGTTGTACATATATATTTCAATTTGTTTTGTTGATAAACAAAGACCCAGTTGAATGCTATATACTCTATGCTACTATATAGACGACTGTTGCTATGGCACAGGCGGGTTTTTATTCTTGTTTATTATGGAAGCTCTCGACAACGCTACGGACATACATCAGCGACTTTTTCGTCGTCCCCTCGACGTCCTCCACGGCGTAAGGTGGTTTAATGATCACATCATGTATCACTCTTATAGCCACTTTGTCGCCTTGCTCCTGCCACATTACCAGATTGTTGCCAAACTGTTTAACCAGCATTCGATACAGTGCTTGGCCAAAAGGTGAGACGTTGAGGTGGTAACTCCGGCAGTAAGCAGACCGCTGATCGGTCGCGTGGCGCAATCGCTCTTGGAGCTGCAAAGGAAAACATTTAAGAACCTTCTTTCAATTGTCATAAAGGAAACATACCATCTGCAGATCAAGCCGTTCGGGTGTGGCGGGAACATCGTTCAAGGGCAGCAGCACCTCCTTTACAATCTCAATGTCTCTGCACATGGAGAGATTCACAATGATCAGCTTGCTCCTGGTCTGCTCATCGCCACCGCCTTTGCTGGCCGGGCAGCGCATCATTAGCATTTTGACGCCCAAATCGAAGGCCAGAACCTGGGGGATTAAATGGATTAATTTATTAATTAATTATTAGCGAGGGATCCCCCTTACCTCTCCCGAAAAGATCTCATTAAAACAGGTCTTGCAACGCACTATTGAACCCAAGGTAAAACAAGGAATCATGGACATCTTGGTTTCTGCACGGACTGTGGGAAATACATTTGTATGCACTAAATTGGTTTGACAGTTGATAGAAATGAATGCAGATGTCAATTTCAAAGCACTCTTTGACAGGACGGAATTTGGCTCCAAAAGCTTTAAAGACTTCGACGTGTGTGTTAGCCGATGCTCCTTCTATTATTTTATTGTTGCCCAGTGCTGCTTTTAAGGTCTTGAGCCAAACATAAAAGAGCAATTATGGGTGCTCATTTAGCTGCAAACAAAAGGCCGGTGTGGCTGTGGTTTTATTTCATTTTATTTACAGTGTATGTATGCTAATTTATAATGTACTAAATATAAATGTTGTATATATATATATATTTCAAAAGTAAACCGTTCCTTTTAATCATACATATATATATATATTGAATTTCGCATTTTAGCAGTTGCTGTCTTAATTGTTGTTTCTGCATGAGCGTTGCTTGTTGTTGTTGTTCTTTGTTCTTCAAGAAGTGTATGTTGCTTTGATTTTATTTTCATTATAATTATGTATGTATATGGTATATATGCGCGTATGTATGTATGTACCTTCATTAGCACGTTTAGCATATGTATACCCTTTCGAAAATCATCGCTAGACGCCTTAAACAAAACTAAAACCGCTTGCTTGCCTATGAGAAGAGAGTGCATTTTGGATAAATTCTTAGCAGAAAGGTAGCAAACACAAAATAGAATACACGTTTGGTGGATAAATACGAAAATATGATGTAGTTGCAGGACAGGCACAAACGGAAAACGAACATCGTCGGCGGACACTTAAACACAACACAACTGTACAATCCTTAAAATGGAACAGCCGATCCTGGTCCTGATTCTATGTTCCTATGGTTCTTTGATGTGGGGGCGCAAGTGCAATTGGGTTGATCGGTCGCTGGTCTAATAACTAATGACTACAGCTCTCTGTTTTCTCTCTTTTAGCACTTTACTCTTTTACATGGTTGGTGTTGCAGCGACTCTCGAAATGTGTATTGGCTTTTGTTTTCAGTATTTGTGTTTAGTTAGTTACGACCTTAACATTCTAATTATGCTTTTCAAAATCACTTTAAATGGGGGCTGCATCCTATTCATAATTTAGCTAGGTTTTCGGAAAGTAATAATTAGCTTTTCGCACTTTGCCTTTGCATGGTTTTCGCGGAAAAGTCGAGTTCAGTGTTCCGTCTGCTATTGGCTGCTTGTGTTTAGTTTTACGGGTTACATTTAATATCAAAAGGAATGATATATATGCATAATATATATATATAAAAATAAAACAATGCACTTCCTTTGCTGCTGGCCCCATGCTCTCTCTAGCTTTACATGGGCCCATCGATGGCGCTCACTTTAAGGCGGAAATAGTAGGCGGATCGGGCCAACATGCAGCCAGCAATCACAAACAGTGCCACATAGAGGAAGTACATGCCACCGTGTTCCTAAATTATGAAAGTATAAAAACAGTTAGCAAAAGAGCAAGATAACCATTTAAGCCATCACTTACAGAGGCATACGAGATTGTCCCGATGGTAACCCCGATGCCCGTAATGAGGAACACCAAAGCCACTATGGCGAACATCACGGCGCGGCTATTGGCAAATCGCGAGCCCACCGACGAGACTTTCCTGCAGTGTGGACAGCGGGCCAGGGCGTTGTGATAGGTGTTGAACTACAAGGACAAGCTTGAGAACGCCTTTTTAAGATTACGAAAGAAAGGGAGCTCACCAAAAATGTATCCGAACAGTGGCCGCAGGTGACGCGGCACATGCCCGGCATGGTGGGCACGGGCGGGGTGACGGGACTCGGGGCCAGGTTAATGATCCGCTTGCAATTGGGCCTTGGGCAAGCAATGCGCTGCGACGAGCTTTTGCAGATTAGCAAACAGTTGCAAGGGCAGCGTACGTATTTCTTGCCCGGCGGAGCGTTCCGAATGGGCTGTGGATATTCAAGAATAATCAGTTAAGGAAAATTGCTCTCTAGTAGTTAATAGGTTATCACTTACAGTAGCCTCATTGCAGTGGGTGCACTTAACCACGTGCTGCTCCCGCTTCGTGGTTATGTCAATCATGTGCTGACACACCCGACAGGTGACCATTGGCACGCCTCCGGTATTGGTGCTCTGCTGATACGGCGGTGGCAGCTCATCGGGTCCAATGCAAGGCACAGCCGTTGGTGCTCCATTGCCTGAAATGTCCATGGAGAAACCCGAAACAGATATCAGTTTAATGAAAGGCTTATCTAAACGATTTCCCTGCAGAGCCTAGACCTTTAGTGTAAAATAAATACATCCCACCAGCAGAGGGCCCTCAGCCACACTACTCTGTCCGGTTTCTCGAAGAGATTGTCTCGCTGAGAGAGAGTGAGAACTGTGCATCTTCTGATACGAGTGTGTTGGGTCGCCCGGAGCAGCGATAAAACCAAATGGGTCAATGTTTTGACTCTATGAATGCAGGGCTCCTGTCTTCTTTGCTGCAAACTAGTTCAAGCTGCTAGACCGCAGCTGTGGTTCTTGGTTGATCAACAAGTTCGAACTTTGTGCAAAAAGAATATAAACATAAACAAGTCAAAAGGAGGAGGAGTAGGAGGAAACAAAGAAAGGCGTCGGTAAGCAATACTCTTTCTGGGAAGTTTGTGTGTATTTTTAGAATCAATTGGCAAAATAAAATCAAGTTAAAAAAACTTCTAAGTCAAATCAAGGCGATATAGCATACAAATATATTCGAAAAATAAAAGATCATTTTACGAAATGTATCGATTAATATATAATAAATTATTTCAGTTTCTATGTTTTGTGATTACTCATAAACCATTTTCAAAAGTGTCAAGTTGTCACGATACATCATTTATGAGACACAGCATTTTAGACGACTAGCAATTTTCGACTCGAAAATAAAGAGTTCATTTTAATCTGTGCTTTTTTTCCTGTCCTCTACATGAGACCAACCAGCGGTTGGTAAGCCTTGAACCCCGTTTTAAAACCGAACTCCAACAAAGTAGGAGGTATCTTGATGATATGAAGCTTTCCCTGAGCCAAGATCAGGTTCCTCGGCAAACAATGGATCCATCGGTCGTTGAGCGCCCTGTGTCTCTGCTTTCATCGCGCCCTGCGCAGTGATAAGGCCAGCGAATCACCCAACTGATGGTGACTCATTAAGCCCCTGCTACTCCGCCTCCGCCAACAAATCGAAGCTGATTAAACAGCTGCTGGAGGGGAACGCTAACAGCGCAACACTGATTACGGCTGCGTACCATAAACAATAACAAAAGTAGTGCGAATATTTTGGTCGACACCGGCATCGAGTTTCTGCACTTAGAGAAACATGTGTGTGATATGTTTTAAGCCATCACTACTGACAGGGAATAAGATAAACTCATTAAGTGGTTATCATGCATTATTCGCCCATCGATATAAAAAACTGCAGATATTGATTTAACATTCAATATTCGATTTGTTGGCTAAAACTTAGTTTTCTCTGCAGTCCAGTGGTGGCTAATGCCACCCTGCCCTTCGTCCCCCGTGACTCAGTTGCGTGAAGTGTGAAAATGCGGTGGAACACACAACTTCCAATCACGGCGTCGGCGGCGGCGGATAAGTAGAGCGCCGCACCAGCACACACTTGTTGGGTTTCCGCACCCGCATAGAGTTCGGCAGCCGGCCCGGAGGCAGCTCAAGCTGCGGATGCGGGTTGAATGAACCAAACCCAACCAAAACCAAAGGCAAAGGCCAATTCAATAATCGGCCATACAATAGCGATACGCACCGTCCTCATTGTTGGCCACCGATGCACTGCTGCCGGGATTGTCGGCGCCCTCGTCCACAGCGTCCACGGAACTGTAGCCGCCGCCCTCGTCCTTGGTGATCAGGCTCTGCCTCTCGGGGTCCGCCATGCTGGATTATCGCCGGATTCTTCCGATTCTTCGATTTGCTCTCTGGATTCGCTGGCTGACACTCCCGTTATGGTTTGCTGCCCAGCAAAAGGTTTCAACTGCAAGATTTACGAAATGGAAAAGCACAATTTAGGTGCTGTTGCACATATTTTTCAGCGACCTGCACTTTTGGTTCTTTGTTCCCGTCCGAACGAGCCGCTGCTGCTGCAGTTCGTCGGTTTTCTTTTCACTCTCGTTCTACAACGCATCCTCCCTTTTCGACATGCGCCGCAATTAATCAATTCTCTGCAAGCGGCGAACTTGAAGCCCACGCAGGCTGCATCTACCTCTTGCACTTTGAAACGGCCTGCGTAGTACTCCTAATTGCCTTAATTGTTTAACATTTTTTGCAATTTGTGTGCTATATTTTACCTTATTTTTGTTGAAAACAGTGTGACCGCGGCTAGACCGTTGGAAAATACCAGAGATCTAGGCAGCCCAGACTGGATTCGCAGTAGACAACTTTAAAAATACCAAAAATGGCATATTACTTCTAGTTGGTTCATCAAGTTGTATTTTCTTGCAGCCCTCGTCGGAGCTACCACGTAGGGGTATTTTAGGAACTGAGAAGTAAATAAAATAAAATAAACACAATAATATACAAGTGCACTTAAATGTTAAATTAATAAAGTGATATTATTTATTTATATTCTGTTATTTTTTCCCAAGGGCTTCGATAGTTTTTGTGTACCGCTGATTGGTTGAACCAGTTCCAAAGTTTAGTTGAAGACAGACTCATTTTGGAACCAAAGCAATTCTGCCACAGTTGATAAAAGCAATGTCAAAAAACATTAAGCAAACGAAAATAATTACCAATCCAGATAACGAAAATCAAAGCAATTCCGTGTCTATCAGCAATAACGAGTCGGATAGTTCGAGCGATTTCGAAACAAGCAGAAAGCACAAATTACGCCGCAAATCTGGCCGAAATGTTTCTTTTCATTATCAACCGCTGCCCATATGCGTTGTTGGTGATAACTCAGTTATAATTCCCGACACGCCGAGTTCCAGCAGAGACATTACGCTAAGTTCCGCGCAAATAATTGATGATAGTTCCGATTCAGAGTTCCATATTTCGAATGATACCAGCAATGATGAACCGGCCAATAAGTCTATAACATTCGCAGCTCGTGCCCTGGAAAAAACCGATTTGGAATTCATTAGAAAAGAGCGCAAGCGAAAAAAGCGACCAAGTAAAAGCATATACAAGGAATAATTCAAAACGCACAATTTTAAAAAGGAACTGCAGACCAGGGCCGATGCAGCCCTATGGACCTACCGCAACTTGGTCACACTACTAAATAACCAGGGTTGGCTAGTTTGGAGTGGTAAATTTTTACGGAAAAAGAACTATTTACACTGATTTTATGTAAATAAAACAAATAAACGTAGGAAAATTAAGTGCAAAGTGTAAGTAGGACACGTGGGACGTTGGTAAGCATGAAGCATAATCGATATTTGGCCGAATTCCGGGAGAAAATCTGCGATGATTTCATTTTCACACAGCGCGTTGTTGTATGGGAAACTTCGTCGTAGCTTTGCTTTTGTTGTTGTTGCTGTTCCTGTACCCCTTTGTTGTTAGTGTTGTTGCAGCTGCTGCGTCGACAGCGACGCACAGAAAATGTTTTATTTAGTTTAGTTTTGTGTGAAGATAAACCGCTTGCTATTTAAGGGGGTCGCGGCATCAAACACCTGTTCCTAATTGATTTTTCACCGTTTCCGCAGACCATTCACACGAAAATTACATACTTCAACTCCAACAACTGTGTTTTGGCCTTTTTAATCAATTAAAAAAGAAACAGCTAAAAAACACAGAAACTCACTAGTACCTAAATAGTTGGAATACAGAGAAGTTTAAATAATTCGAACGAACGAAGTTTTCAAACACAAATTGACCACCGATTAGTACAGAAAAAAGGAAAAAAACAGGAAATAGCAGAGATGGACACGCCACCAATGTTCAACAGCGTCGAAGATGAGTGCAGATACTGGAAGGAGCGATCCAAGCAGTACCACAAAGAGTGAGTGCCTCCAAGAACCTTTCGTGACATAAAACCTCTAAACACACTTACATTTCAGGTGGACAGACGTGAAACAGGATTACGACGAGTTCGTGGAGCAGTCGCGGGAGATGGAAGTTGAAATGGACGCCACTCTGGAACAGAAACAGAGCATAATCAAAGATCTCACATCCAAGCTCACCATGTTTGAGCGCGAGAACGAGTCCCTGAAGGTGGCTAACCTTTTAATTCTACCCAAATCTATATTTATGCATCTCCTTACTTTTTAGCTAAAGCTGGACTCGCATGCCATTGAAACGTCAAACATGGAAAAGCAACTGGAGGCAGTAAAGAAGGAGCGAGACACCATGAAGGTGTATCTGAGGCAGCTAGAGCAGAAGAACGATGACTTGGAGCGGGCACACCGCATCCTGAACGAAAGCATAGAGAACTTCGAGAAAATGCTAGACCAGGCCTACGAGAAGAACGCTCTGCTGGAGCTCGAAGTGGATGAAAAGGGGCTGCTGCAGGAGAAGCTGCAGCGGCTAATGGATGAGACGAGAGGTGAGTTTAAACTGACAATCTGTCTACTTTAATGTGTATACTTATCCTTGCCACCCTTGCAGATCTCAAGCAAGAGCTGAACGTCAAGACACGCTATGTCACGCCGACGGTGAATGGAACAGGGGCCACGAACTCCATGAACAGCTCCATGAACTCGTCCACCTCGCTGCCGAACGGCATCGTGGCCAATGGGGAGCTGGCGAATCACGATAACACGGTCGCCACCAATGCCACCAGCGTCAGCGTGAGCGCCCTCAATGGCAGTTTAGTTAATAGAAACGAATATAACCAGCAGCACTCGCTTAAAAGTAAGATACTCAGCTCCTTTAAGAAAACCAGGCACGTCCTAAAACTCACCAAATTGAATCGCCAGTTCAAGCCATGCATTTAGTTTAGTTTTGTTTTTTATTTAATTTTGCGTTCCATATCCCTTTTTATTTATGTTTTTAATTTATTAGTTTTCTTTGTCAGAGCGTCAGCCAGCAGGTTTAAGTTCCTTATTATTTGTAATTCTATTGTAAATTATTAAAACTAAGAGCCCCAATCAAAGAGACGAAAGTTTGCGACATTTCTAGTAGGCAAATTGTTCGTGTTTTGTGTTCGTTGCGTCCGTGTGTAGCTAGTAATTCCGACCAACTAACCTTTCGACTAACCAGCTGTGTATGTGTGCTTCCTCTTGCAGATCCCGAGAACCAAATCAATGGCAATTCCCTGAAACCCAGCTGTCGCACATCGGCGCTCAACACTGTGGCCGACATGTTGAGAAAACTAAACGTAAGTCCCTCCAAGCGAAAGTCAAAAACTTTTCATACCCAGCATGCCAAAGTCTTTCCTCCCTGTGTTATGTTCTAACCCAGTCCACCCAAATCCACCCACCCATCGCCAGCTTATGTGTTTTTCCGTATGTGTTTTTTAGTGGGATAAGGCCCTGTTATGTCCCGAATGCGAAAAGTTTCGCTGCATTTGCGAGCGTCCCGAGGTGCTGCAGCCACCGCCAACGGCCAGCGAATCGAGTTCGAGCCTCTTTCGTCGCGCCTTTGGCGGCAGCAGCAGCTCAGTGGCCACCAGCAGCACCCAGTCTACGCCCGTTAGCGATTGCAGCTCCGGCACGGCATCAAGCAGCCTCTCTGCGGGCACGAACATTTTCAAACGCTTTGCCGAACGCATGCGCAACTCGCCGGATGCAGCCGGCCTGCCATTCTGACGTTGCGCTATTATACGCCGGCTTATTTTAATTGCCCTCCGCTTGCATTTATTAATTGCATTGGTTAATAAATTCAAACATTATTTGTACCTTATTTGTGCGGTATTTGTTTTGTTTTCTTGTGTTTTTGTTGTTGTTTAATTCCAAATGATTTTCATTTGTATTATCATCATTGCAATATTTTGTAAAGGCTTCAGATGCAGTGCTTATTTTTTAAGACTTTTTTTTACCAGTGGTACTAGATGGATATGTATTCATAGTAAATGTCGATTAGCTGCATTTACTTATATTGTTCTTAAAAATTCGATATATTACTAGATTGTTTCACTCTAGTCTAATCCCAGACACATTTCTGTATTTTGATTGCAGGCCATGGAGACGAAACTGAAGACTTACCGGGAGAACAGACCAATGCCGCAGCGGCACCGCTCCTCCAAGGAGTAAGCCCATACGGCGCTGAGAGGCCGATTAAATGGGATCACCTCATCATCGACGCAATCCCCATCACCTCCCTGGGGCGGGATTACTGTTCAGTTAGTTCGGCGTTAGCGATACGTTTCTTTAATGTTACTTTTTAGCGTTAATTTAACTTTCGCTGCCTCTTTATTTATTTTTGACTTAACTTGACTTTGTATAAACCGTTTTGCGATATTATAAATAACACACAGGAGTTGGTGTTGCCGTTTTCGAAACCAACATGTTACACATGCCTTAGTACGAATTAAGAGTAAAATCCTAAGCTAAGTCCCCACACTCGGTTCAACCCTTTGGATTCGATACGAATAGCGACGATTAACTGACATAAGAAATGTGTTTAGAGAGTAAGATCAAAGAGCCCCGCAACCGAAGATGCTGTGTCCAAGTATTATACTTCAAGCGGACAAACAATACTCGTAGCGTTTAGGAAAAAGACAAGCAAGCTATCTAACCCGAAAGCACCACCCGATCACCTAGTTATATCGATAGCGATTTTCTGTTTATATTTACGACCGAATATAAATTTGTAAAAATGCTAAATTGTTAACTGCAAATCTGTGTATAAAGCATAACAAATCATAAAACAAAACAAAAACTCCAACGAACAGGCAAAAATATCTATATATATATGAATAAAGAGAAACATAATTAGTTTAATAGAAACTCAACGCAGCGCACTTTCAATGTCAAAGCTGCGTATGTTGAAACTAATTAGTTTTGAAAATATTTGAGTTCATTACAGAAGGTGAATGCTGCGTCAGTTCCTATGCCAAGGCCAAATCCAAATCCCCGCCAGCAACAGGAACTAAGGGGAGGAGGAGCTTCAACGAAGCTTTTTGTAGGGGAAAGTGGTTTCCCCTCTTTTTCCCTGGGTTTTCTGGAGCTTTCCCGTTGAGTTTCCCCAGTTTGTTTATTTTTTTCTTGGAGTACTGATTCTGGATCCGACCTTGCTGCCGGAAAGGTTCGCTGGCGGTAAGCTAATGAAAGTACTCTGGTTTTTATAAGCACGGGTTAGCGCCGAGTGCTGGCATTAAAAGAGCAGCAGTATGGATGATGGCAAACATCTCATCAGATGGAAAATGAAGGAAAACTGCAAATACAACAAGTCCAACAAAAAAGGAGAAGAAAAAAAGAAACGAAAAGCAGAAAAATGAAAATATGACACAAGCTTTTATCATACGCAGAGCACTTACCAGGGACAGACTTTGTAGTGTTGTTGTGTTCCATCTCCTCCTGTTTGCTGCTGAGTGCATTGTTTACCAAAGGGAGGCGGCCCAGTTGGAGTTTTGGGGCAAGGGACTGGGGCCATGTGGCAGCAACCATAAGCGGATTGGGAATGGCACAATGCAATTGCCGTTTGAAATAAAAGTGAAGCGGACACAAAGGCAGCCCACACTGCATGTGTGCACGGAAAGCAATTTTGGATATCCTTCAGGATTCCCCGTACCTTCTACGGAAGTCCTTTTATGAGAAAGACTGTATGAAGGCACTGGAACAGTGCAGCATTTTCTGGGGTTAAGCTTTATGTACCTTATTTGTTTTCTGAAAATCATAAAGATATTCCTCGTTAAATAAATATTAAACTAATAACGAATCATTATATTAATTTTAATCCAAAGCCAACACTTAGTTTTCAGTGTGCTAGATAGGAAGTTGGAGTGACCAGTGAAGGTTTTTTGTTCAGTTTTTATTTTTGTTTTTCAAAAGTAATTTGAAGAATCTGCCTCGTTTTTTCCGGAGTCGCTGTCGTTTGATGAAGTCCCTCGAGAGGGACGATCCCTGGCAGCTAATTAACTGGCCGCGAATACAATTTCCCGGCGCACACACAAAGGGCAGCAATCAGGAGCCTGGCCTTCCGACATCACTATAAGCGGGTCAAGCGCCACAATGAACCCAAACGGACGAATCCCTCTCAGCAAACATACACCCAATTGTTTTGGCATAAAAAAGCGAGTGAACAGCTCGTAAAAAACTGTATCAAAACACTGGCTTAAAGTGGGAAGCTCTCCAAATGCCACACAAAACAGGGTGTTCGTCGAGGGTTCGGCTTTTGGGCCAAATTATCGCAGTCGTTAAACGAATGGCTTAAAGCCTTGGCCATAACTCGGTGTGCAATTAAAGCGTGTAAAGTAAGAGGCTTGGAATAACTTTATACTCACTTTTAGATTGGGTTAAGTTTGTTTTAATTTAATAAGGGTAATTCGGGATTATATTTTGGTATAAAATCATTGGGCTTGAGTACATTATATCCTTTTGGAAGTATATACGCTGCTTCCCGTTTAAAAAGAGCAAATTTTTAAGTGTTTTTCATCTTAGATTATGAGATCTGTATATAACAAGATATACCATACATCCAGATTCAGTTTATGAAATTTCAGTTATATGTATATAGAATATAATCGAATATATAACTTACCGTAGTAGTAAATAAGTAAGTAAGGCTTCTTATAGATGGCAAATGCTTTGAAGTTCAGAAGTTTACGCTTGCAGATCCTTAATTAGGAGTTTCCTAAGAGGGAGAGGGAGATTCTCTAGAGAGATTTGGCAAAAAGAGATACAGGAAGAGAGAGTAAGAGAGAGTAAGTGAGATTGTGAGATAACGAGGCACAGAGCAACAAAGTTAGAAGAGAAGTGAGAGAGAGACTGGTAGGGAGAAAGTGAGATACATAAAGTAATCCTGGCGTAAATAAACAGGATACAGAGTTCGGATAGCTTCCTTCCCTTATCGCCTTTCTGATTTTTATTTTTTGGCTGCCGGCTAATTCCACTTCCGGCGGCACCCTGTAAATTGGAATGTTCACAAACTTTACGGCATTTATGCTCTTTAAATATTTAAAATACGCGGCGCGACGTCGTAATGTAAGCACGGTGCACAAACGGAAATAATGATGAGGTGTACTACCAGGTTCTGTGTGTGTGTGTGTGTGTGTATTGCTTTGTTTTTGGCGCTTCGGTTGTAGGTGCCCGAGGGCCGAGGCCAGGACTATCCAAAGTAGAACTATATAGCCGCATAGTCGGGTATCCTGGGCCCTGGCTAAACATCAAACAAAATCGATATGTGGGCGGTGTATATGATTTTTGGCATAAACAAGCAACAGGCACACATACTTTTACACCCCACACACATAAACTCTGCCGGGGGGGCCGTTTACAGGTTGGTTCCTTGCTTTGTTTGAGCGCCGCAGGACGCTCATTTTTCGTAATGAGTTTGTCTATGTGCGCAGGATGCTTGGTTGGGAGTATGGGCAAATACTAACAGTAACAGGAGCACACAGCTACCTGGCATGGCCAGCTACTGCAACAGGCATATCCTTGAAATATGTTTCCCTTTTTGGCTTTTTATCGGCCAAAGATGGGGTAACAGAGAGTTAAGGGGTTATCCTAACCAAAGGCTTTCATATTTTTTCCTTAAAGTGCTGCAGCTGATAGGGACGATTTTTTTGATAAATAAAATATTTTCAGCTTATTTGGTATCCTTGAATGTGGGTCACACAAAGTTTAATGAAATGTTTAAAAAGTCTTCTATAAGATTAATGACAACAAAAACTAAAATGAAGTAATCTTAATGTTTTTAAAATATGTTTACATAATTACTAAATGGATTGGCATATTATAACAAAAGAAGGACCAATCTTCCAGATATCCATGATATAAAAAATAATTAAATACTGTGTATTACATTTTAACTTATAGGCAAATCTATAGGTTCCAATTTTATAAATTTTAAATACATAAAAGTGTAATTTGTGGTCCTTGTTCCCCACCATCAGACGTCTTATTTATTATCGTGAAACTTTTAGCAATTCTTAGAACATAATTTGTATATAGCTTATCCTGTAAAGTGTTCTTCCTAGAGTAATAAAGTATATTTTATTTATGCGCTGCGATGGGCCAGTAAAAAAGCTCTTTGCTCCCTCTCCCCGAGAACCTAAAACGCGAGTCAACATTCTGATGGCTGTCACACAAAAAAAACTTTTTTGGCGAGGGTATAAGTACATATGAAGCGCAACGATTCGCTTTAATACGGAAAATCTTTAAGCATACACACATGCACGGAGGCGAGCGGAAAGGGAAGCGCACACACACTAACAGACAGAGGGAAATCGTCCTGGGGGGTCCTGTGAGTTCTGCCTGTGTGTGTTTGAGGGGAGGCAGTGTGAGCTTGTTAGGAGTTGCGCTGTCGTCTGCCATCTTCCTTTCCTGTTGCCATCTTCCGGTTGCCATTACACTGAGCATTCGCTATAAATAATTTGGTCTCGATTTGAAGTGCGAGAGCTGTGATAATGAAATCCCCTTGATTAGCCCACCGATTGGAGGCCAACGAGGAGCAAATGCAGCTCCAGAGATGATCAATCAGGCAGACTGCGCTTTTAATTAGCACTCACTATCCACATGCCACATCCTTCCTCCTGCTGGACCGCAATGCTCAAGTGGACCTCATTAGTTCACAGTTAGAGATTTAATTTAATTGCATCGCCAGGGATTCGATTGACCTTTCGTCCTTGCTGTCTTCGCGTGTGTGTCAGTGTGTGTGAGTGCAAGCGTGAGCAAGTGTCCTGCAATTAGATTAATTGACTTTAAGCCGCACCACCAGCAGCACCTTTATGTTATGTGGATTTTATGCTTCGCTCAATGAATTGCCGTCAGTGGCCTTATAAAAATGGCCAGCGAAATGGGCCAGAACCCATGTGTAAACTGCTTTTTATGACACCGTCGAGAACCTCTCTCTCACCTTTGTCCTGTTTAGTGAATGCCAAATGGCCCCGGGCCATTGTCTGCCTCTCCCATTCTGATTTATAACACAAGCTGACACACACATATACCACCACATTTGCAGGACGAAAAGGACACGGCCGAATATGACATTCGCATGTGCTTTACAAATCCTTGTGGACCATTTTTACAACCCCAGCCGGCTGCGACCTGTGTCCTAATGGCCACCATCGCCATCGCCACCGTCTCCTCCCTTAGTCTGCCCGGTAAATCATGCAAATATATATCACATCGGCTGTGCGCACAATGGAGCCTGACAATCGATGAGGCATCTCCGCCGAAAGTATTCAAGGGAGGCACATTAATCAGCTTAGGAACTACAAGTTCACCCACAACCGTACTTCAGCGAACCGCAAATCGACCGAAAAATAATATAATTCATTGACAATAAAGCTGCACTCCAAGTATTCTAATTATGAAACAGAAAAAGTTAACGTTAAGCTTAATTTAGAGTTGAGTTGAGTAAGAAGATTCCTAGAATTATGAAAATTCGTACATAAAAATTATAATGTAATATAGAAAGTTTCCAAATTCTAATGAATTTTAATATAATACATATTCACATTCATGGCAATTTAATGCAAATTTTGTCTGTGAATTTTTTAGGTTGCAGAATATAAACTGTATTTCACTTTTATACTTCTGAGAATCGTTATGATATATTACATGTATAAAATATAAAACTTAAGCCGAATAAAAACAGGAAAGATTCAGCTAAGTTTGATGATAGGTTAATTTCACTTTAATAATCTAATATTCCATAAAATGTACGCACTTTCTGATGTATATGCATATTACATATAAATTTTTTAATATATATTTACGTTCATGCTCGTATAGAGGCAAATACCAAGTGAGTTTTACCACTAAAAAGTCCCTTTGGAGTTTAATAAAAACTTTCTGTAATTCGAGTTGCAGAATTTTAACTGTATTTTCGGTTTTTTCCCCTGGTTTCTGCAGTGACAAAAGCGTAGCACACATTTCGGGGCTGCCAGTCAGCGAGTCAATTTCCAAACAATGCGAAACTTTGTGCCGCCTTCACAGGGGGACGGTGCTCTGCTGACTGGTTGGCTGGTCCTGGTCCTGGTCCTGTGTCCCTGATCCGATGTAAGCGTAGACCAATTAAGCGTAAACAAATTTGTTACTGTGGAAATATGAGAACCACTAGTTGCTGCCACCCACCGCCCCACAACAATGGCCATGGAATGGCCCCATTTCCATATCCATCCTTATCCCATCCCCCAACCCCCCTGTTCACGGTGCGCTTTTGACATTGACAAAGTGGCGGAGGCGGTGCTTTCCGTTCCGTTCAGTTCGGTGGTTCCAAAGCGGCGGCGTATGTAAATATTTTTGGGCTATTGATACGCGAGCGGCTGAAGGATGACCCTGGTGGCCAACAAACTGTTGCTCGGGCTTTAGAACACACCAGGGAATTTTTTTCCCCAGCTAATGGCATTTCCCCTACGCGCGCAACAGAGTCTTTTCCTTTTCTGGTTAACAAACACCCCGCGTCTCTCCTGTGTCTCCTGCTCCTCCTTTTTAGCCAACTTCGTGCTGTCGCCGAACTCCGCCGCCGCTGGCCAAGTGAGTTTTTGAGCTCCAGCTCCAGCTACAGCTCCGGCGGAGTGCTCCAGTCTTCTTGGGGACTTGGCAGCGTGTGCACGTGTCTAACGCAAGGTGTTATCGGTTTAGAATTCGCAATTATAGTATCTCAGAGATACATCGCATACATAGCACAGTTTTGGCGAAGTTTTGCGGGGCCTTAAAGTAAAAGTTGTAAGTACAAAATAAAGAGAAGATGCGTCCTTGATTTAGATTAATTTATTCAGAGTTCGGTTTAAAAATGTATAGTTAAGACACTTTTAATAACTTAATATTTGCTACAAGTAAAAAATGTATTATTAGTAAGCGTTCTAAGTGCGTTTCTCTTGTATTAAATATTAAAAGATTATGATTTATTAATTGCTCATTAGAAAGGAAAGAAAATTGCTTTAAAGATAAGACAACATTTTAATGCAAATTTAATCATAAATTTAAATCCCAGTCAAATTAGGAAAATGAAAAATGTATTTCATGTTTAACTAAAAGAGCGGAAATGTGGTATGAAAGTGTGACAATCTATCATGGCGGCATAAACATAAATGCTTTGCTTTAACGTGTAAATCTCGGCGTTAAGAGGATTACAATGTTTCGAGTAATTATTATCGGGAGTGCGTGTGTGTTATGTGTGTTTTTGCTTGCCATAAACCTGCTGCAGGGAATTAACTTTGTTTCGATCTAACCACGTTTGACAACTAGAAACGCCAGCGGAAACGGAAACGGAAGTGGGTGTGGGTGTGTGCATGGGTGTCGGGGGGTGGCAAATAAACTGTTTTCGCCATTTAGTTTTTAGTGTTCGGTGCCTTTTTCTTTGCCATATTTATTTATGCGCCAGCACACACACACACACACCTTATACTCACACTGCTACGTGTGAGTGTGTGTGTTCTTGTGATACACTTAATCCGACATTTACAATTTTTGCTTAAGGATTTATTTATGGATTCAATATGTGTACGACGCTTACACATCCGTATGAGTGCGTGTGTATACACCGAGCAAAAGGGCACAACTTGAGGTTTAAAAATAGAATTTCTATAACTGCTTATAAATTTCTTTTAAATATAAAATTAAATACCATTAGAGATAGGAAATCTCTTTAAAATGCGGTATAAACTAAACTACAAATTGATTTATTAAATATTTATTTCTTATATGTTTGGTTATCATGTAAAATTTTTTAATTGATAATTTCTTTAGCAAAGTTTTTATATACCACAAATTTTTCATTGTTTAAGTTGCATATTAATAACGCTTCCAGATGAATTTAAAAAACAGAACTTTTTTTTATTTGTGTATACTTCAGAGTAAGCTTATATATAAATGTCCGTACCTTTTAGAATTCTTTCAGGACCAATCCCGACCCTAGTCCCCAGAACACATTTGCATGCGCAAAAGATGCTCCTCAGCATACACTTATTTCATTTTTTTTTTTAAATCATTTTGCGCTGCATGCATTCTATATGGTGCATCCGTTCTATATAATATATAGTACTCAGTGCATTACTGTCATGTTGATCCAGTAAAAGGCCAGCAATACAAAGGCAGTAAGAAGAAGTTGGTTGTTGGAGGTAGACGTTTAAATGGAATCTCCTAATGCATGGAAGTCGACGCCATCAAAAAGTCTACAAAATGCAATAATTCATTTTTTTTTAATATAAAATTATTTTCAATCCCAAATAAAGGGAGATCTATGAAGGTGAAAGGAGATTCTCAAAATAATTACAAATAGCCAAGCTACAAATCTAGATGAGGCATCGCTGGCATTCTTAATCGCTTTTTTTCCTGGTTCGTTTCATGCATTAAATATTTTAAACTAGTGAAATAGCATTTAAATTGCATTGCATAAACAATGGAGCAAAGGTAAAAAAGTGAAAGAGAGCTTAATGGCTTTTGACTTAATTAATTTACTGGTGTATACCTTGCATCCGTATAAAAACCGAGTAGAAATCCCTTTGAAGCAGTTTTGTGTAGCAAATAGTGAGTTAAATAAAATCTGAAAGCATATACCATAAATTTAGCTTTAATATATTACTTGAATTTATTAGAGGTTTTTATATTTTCGCGTAGGAAAAATGCATAAATAATTGAATAGGTAGAAAGAAATAAAGAATTCAGGAGGAATACAGGAAACGGAATTCGGAATGGGATATATTGAAAAATGTAAATACTTGATATATAGAGTATTAAAGAGGCTTTAACATTAAATATCTAAAGAAAAACATAACATTATTATATACTGACTTCTATTATAAATAAATTAATCAAATTATTCTACAGAGTTGTATGTTGAATGTTTCTTTTAAGATAAAGTTATATTAGGATTTGAAGTTTAGTTGCCTGTATACAAAAAATACATAGAATTATGTTCTAGACTTTATTCCTTAGAATTATTCTAAATATTTTGTGTAAGCATAACTTTAATTAATTCCTTATAGTTTAATTCAGATTATCTATAATTTACTTATTTGCTGGAAAATGTTGACTACAATTAAATTGGGTTAAAGTTAACGAGCGTCAAACAAAGCCTGTGGAAAGTGAATATTTAGATTGATTTGGGCAATTATTGATTTCCCCTAATTGACATATATTTTTCTTGATTACCTAACCGTATCGCAGGCTACATTTATTAATGTTACGCAAATTCCAAATGTCAATGGGCTGTGGCTTTAAAGAGACAGATGAGCCGAAATGGCAGCGAATTAAGTCAATATTTCTGAGTTGGACAAAATGGTATTCATTTCAGATTTGAGACAGTCTGGGATGGGTTGCAGCTGTGACGAAAATTGAGGTAAAATATCTGTTTACACAGTTCGAAGGGGGAGAGTATTGGCCACATGCCAACCATTTATCATGACATTCTAATGGCAAATAAATAGAATTTATTTGTTTTATTTCTTCTCTTCGCCTTGCCCGGCAAATGTTGACTTGTGTAAACCGTGGAACAATAACAATAAATTGTTTGTGCACCATTGTATAATTGACACCTGCCTAGGGCTCTGAGATATACATATATATATATTTTTCTATATAACCTTTTGCTTCAACAAGTTCTTAGGGCACAATTTATTGTTTTTCACAATTCGATTTATTTTGAAATGGTTTCCATTGAATTCATTATCGGTGACCAGCTGCAGCTTTCAGCTGGCAGCAAATCCCGCCTATATCCTGGCTATAAATAGAAGCAGGACGACACCCACATCCGCATCCAAGTGAGATCCTACGTACTAGCATTCGCTTTTTTGGTTTCTGCAGTCATGGTTTCTGCAAACATGGTGACAGGCGAATACTTTGCCAGCACTTCTGCTAACGCCCCTCTTGGCTTTGCCACGCCTCCGCCCTTTGTTTTGCGATTCGAGTGGAGCGCAAACATGGCCAACAAGTGTGTGTGGGTGCACTGCTAAAAAGCTATGAAAAACTGAGAATTTAATATTACAAAGAGTATTATGGGTTAATCCTTGGTAGCAGCTGGTTCTTTTCCTGTAAATTTTGATGACTTTCCACAGTTTTGTATATGGAAAATAGTTATTAGTTTCTGGGTAGAAAAATACTCTCTTATAAAAGCAAAATGATGACCGGGATTTGGAGTGCTCTATTAAAAAACTTTAGTTTACTATGAAATAATAGTAGAAAGGTATGAAACTTTTGCATAAAATTTAAAAGTAATTTATTCCTTCTAAATAAGAATAAAGTATTCAAGAGACTAAGACCCCTTTTTTCGGGCTGTGTGAAAAATAACTAAAAATGTGGCAACAGGATGGTGGGCAAAATCGATATGGAAACTCTACATGATGTATAAAGTTGTTGCTACATAAATATCAAATATGCAAATATTTGCCAGGCTGCCACCTGAAATTCGCTCGCCGCCCTCTGTGAAAATGCTTAACTGAAGCGTTGGAAAATTTTGACGGGGGCGGGATTGAGGTGGAAAATCGAGGTGGAAATTGACGGAGTACGGGTACGGATGCCCGATTTGACTGCCGCTGCTACCGTTGCCAGTCAGGCAGCCTGGGGAATAGCTGTCACCTTGGAATCCACCAAGGACCCAAAATATATACATACATATATATAAGACCTCTATATGGCGGCGGCGTTATTAACGCAGTCAGCAAGTGAGGAAGGAACGAAAAGATCAAAAGCTTTAACGCGCCACCGTAAGCATGTGCAAATATTTCAGTTGATTTTATTCTTTTTATTTTTATCTTATTTCGCTGCCATACCGTTCGGGGGCCCCGAAAAATAACAAAAAAACATAATATTGTATTCGATGGAGATGAGCCTAAAAAGTCCCTTAATGCCAAAAACACAGACAGACAAAAGGGAGTGTGTTTTTTTGTTTTTTGGCAAAGTTTTCACGGGGGGTTTGGTCCGAAAACTGGAGAGCCGGGATCTCCAGAAGGGACAGGCGGCCAACCGTGCTGTCTTTTTTTCTTTTTGTTTTTTTTTCGGTGCTGTATGGCTGCCTTTCCTGTTGCTCCTGTTGCTTTCGAAAGGACCTTCGCTTTTGGGTCGTTTTCGTTTAACGGCCTTATACCTGCAGCTGTTTATCATAATTTTGTTGATTTGCTGTCTGCTAACAGTAACAATAATAATCATAACAGCAACAAAAACAACGGCCATGGCGGCAAAATCAAAATGAAATAAAAGGGAAGAAAAGGAATTGTGAACGCCTGAAAGTATGCAACAAAAAGTTTCACTCACCAGGACGCGCCCAAAAAAAAGGGAAAAAAGGAGACAACAGTAACAAAAAAAGAGAGGAGAAAAACTTTGCCAAGTAAATTTGAATGTCGAAAACTTGTATTAGTCAACAGCTTCAACAGAAAAGAAAAAAAGGAGCAAAGCGAAAACTCAGTTTCACTTCTTTCCTTTAGGTCCTTAAAGAGGGAAATTACAATAATCAATTTTTCGATTTTTATCCCAGATAAGTTTGCTAAATAAAATAGGAATAAATGTATCATAAGTTCGGTTGAACAAAGCTAATAAATTTAATATGAAATGTAATTGTTTAGACTTCATAAATCCGTTTAAATATATAATATTAAAAGCAAAAATAGTCATAAAAAAATAAAAACATAGCTAACAAATTAAATACTAATTACTTTCCCTACACTTTCAAACTTTTATCAAAAGAAATACTAAATTATAATCAGGTATTTATGAAATAAATTAAATAAAAGGTGACAAAATTTATAGTTGTAAGTCCTGCTAATCCTATAATACCTTTAAAACTCAGAGTATCTAAATATATAAGCAGATATTTATATATACAAATGTGTATAAAGCAACGGGCGGCAAAACTTTGTTTGACGGCCAATGCGGCGTATGCGTCATGTCAAATGGGTCGCAACGCTTTTCATAACTTTTTCGGCAATGGCCCTTCATGTCCTTGGCGCCATTTTATAATGAATTGTTGTCACAATATAATGTGGCCATTGTTGTTGCTCCTGCTATAGGTGATTGTGTGTGTGTGTGTGAGTGTCTGTGTTGGGGCAATTTAATAAAATATTCAATTGCCTTTTGGCCAGCGTTATTCGTGCGTCGCATAGCATCGGTGGTATACCCTTGGGAGGCAAATGACCAGACTTGGTCTGCCAATTAAAAACATGGCGTCATGGCAACATCAACTGCCAACTGCCAACTGCCAACTGCTAACGGCTAACGGCCAGCACGCAAATGTTTATTAGCCGCAAAACGTTGCTCATTAAAAAAGTTCGTCACGGCCCTCTCGCCCAAGGCTTTCGGTCTTAACCTGGCTGACAGACTGCTACGGACTGCCCTCTGCCTGATTAAAACTTTATCTTACAAACACTGGAAAATAAATATACTTACTTATATTTTATGTATTGATTTGTTAAAAAAACTATCAAAGAAAACATTCTTAATTTACTTATTTATCAGTAAGAATTTATAATATGTATATTACTATTTGTTGCTTAAAATGTAATCTTACTTGTTTAATATCGAATTTTTTTCGGTGCCATGTCTGCCTTTTTTTTTTCGAGGAATTCCCAAGTTGGCTTTAAAGTTACGTTAGTTGCCGGTTTCGTCTGCGTCTTGGCTTAAACTCGTTTGCCGACAGGCGAGAGCCTAATTACGGCTGCCCGTCATCAACATCATCATGAGCATTATCGTTATCATCGCTTACATCGTTATGAATGTCGCCTGATTTTAATATATACATATACATATATATATATATACTTTATTTTTTTTGTTTGGCGACCAGATGTTTAAGGCTCGCCCGCCGGCATTGGCTTTGATCTTTCCGTCCTGATTATATGGCAACGATTGGAGTCCTTTTTTTATTTGTCATCGGTGTGAGAGTGTGTACGGATTGGATCCTTTTGCACAGGCCAATGGCTTTTATGGCTTCATTCATCTTCCTGCTGGAGCAGCAGGGAATGTGTCCTGGCAAGTGTCCAATGGAGTACTCTATCGCCTGACACACTATCGCTATGGCCATGTGCATGCGGAAGCTTTAGGACACTAGGACAGCGTCGACTAAATTGAGCGAATGTCCTCCAGGTCACTGCTCATCACTTGACACTCCTCCACCCTAATCAAAGGGGAGTTTCCCAGCTATATCCCTGACACTTGTCGTATCCGTGTGGAAATGTCCAATACATTATCATAATCCACATACTTGTTGAATGCCAAAGTTGGTTGCGAGATAGTCTTGAATTTTACTTATAAGACTATGTATTCCTTAAGATAATATAGATATATAATTAAGGAAAATATATCTAAGTTCGGAATTCCAAATATATGTACAAGATATTATATATATTCGGGGAAAGAAAGCTTAAATATATCTTGAGTAAACTGAATGATTAATAATTCTTGCTTTTTAAAAGTAAAAAAAAATTATTAATCAATTCTGTATTTATCTCAGACTTTACAAAAACTCATCTTTTATAATTTCCCACAAAAAAATATATTCAAATTTAATAGCAACATCTACGAGCTGCCAAAAATAAACAAAATTCGCTTATTCCCCTGGGGCATTCGTTCGTTAAAATCATTTAAAGGGCAAACACAACCATTCCCAGGATGTTCAAGTATAGCAGGAACAAAAACAACATCAACGGCGATGTTAACCTCCAGATAAGCAACTCAACACGGCACGAAAAAAAAGGATAATAAATAAAAGATACAATAGAAAATAAATAACAAATAAATCTGTTTAAAGAAAAAATCTATACCATAGTTAACTTCGTTAATGAAGAAATTATTTAAGTTTAGATAGGTTTTAGGATACAAAATGCAATCCTTTTAAACCCAAAACTTCTCTCTCAATATTATACCCGATATTTTCTCTCAGTGCACGGCAGACACACGCCAACTGAGCCGGAATACGAAGGCTATGTCCTTAGTCTGTGCCTGTTGCAATGTTCCATTTAAATAATGCGTTCGTATAATGTATGTGTATACGAGTAACTGCGAGCAAGTGAGTGTGCAGAGTGCACGGCGGGGAGGAGGAGGAGGGAGTGGGTGTGTGTGTTAAATGGGGTTTCCACATGGGACTGGAAAATATGCGGAACAGTGCGGATGGTGGTGGGGGCCACGATTCCTTGGCTGCGAAAGTTAAGCATGCTGTCACACGTTTCATTTATTATAAAATATGCAAACGTGCTGCCTTATAAATGATCAACATCTTCAATTTAATAATGTCATCGTCATCGTCATCGTTGGCTGCATTGCCAGTCAATGTCATTGGCGTCATTCAGGGCCGGCAGCTCATGGAATGGGCCATCAATTGCAATTATCAGCCAACTGGCGAACGAAATCATAGCCATCAGCCATCATCGGCCATCAGCGGCTTAAAGTTTCCGCGTTGCCCACAATTAAGGCAAATAAGATTGCAGTAAATACTCTTAATTGGCATCGTTGGCATGCATAAATAGGCCACATTGTTTTTATGCAGCAGGAGTTGGCCCATTACGTTTGCCTTTTTAAACGGTAAAAAGTTTGTAATTGTTCGATTTGTAGGAAATTGTTTTAAAGGCATTTATTTATAGAGAATTGTTTAAAATGTATATATAGTGAAGAATAATAATGACTTTATGACTAATAGGGATTATAATAAAAATAATATAGATAAATCAATAGTTCTATTAAATATGTGCTACTTCTTTTATGTAGTATCTGTTGAGAGACAGACTTTCAATTAATTAAGGGAAAATATTTTATTAAAACCTTCGAGTTTTAAGTGAAATTTTCCTGTGAACAAATACAAATATATTAAATAAACCAGAAGCCAACACACTTCATTTCTGGCAACTTGATAAGTTTTTTAATCACTTGTTTTCTATTTTTTATTTCGAAAAACAGAGTTTCAATTTATATTCCCATATTTTAAAAAGGTGTCCGAGCCCTACGCATGTTTTGTTTCACTTCACAAAGCGTTGACAGGCAGTGGACTTTCGGACAGAGGGACAGCTTTGCACAGAGCTCAGCGTTGACAAATCATTTTAGTTGCACTGCCGACAGTTGGAGTGTGACAAAGATACAACCTGACAGGCGGACTGGCAACTGGATCTGGCGGGGAACTACATACAACATATACAGCATGGCCGCGTGATGACTGCCGACGCCATTTTTGATTGACACCCTGCAGATGTGCCGCCATTTCCGGTTGTCTGAATGTGTTCCCAGTGTGGCTGTGAACCTAAATTGTGTGCAAATTAGATACATCATATTCATGCTGACAGTCGGCTAACAGATTATTTATGTACCCACTCGAACAAGCCGACACATTTTCCCATTCTTTCCCTCGATTGGGCTATAAATTTTTCACAACTATGCAAATTGCTAGGGATTCCTACAACAGACAGAGGAAAATATTGGGAAATTTTGCTTCAGATCTTTAAAATAGGTTACAGTTTTTTGTTTCAGATTATCAACTTATACATTTTTCTAGGCCAGCTAATTTACATTTATGTGTCTAGCTAATTTTAATAATATTTTGTATTTATAAAATAAATGGTATGATCCTTATTTTCAGTGCAACCACGCCCTCTCACATCATATATATTCCTATATGTTTCAATGTGTGTACGGGGTGCATGCAAAGTTGTTGCTTATTGAAAAAGTTTTCAACATTTGTCGTAATAATATGCAGGTCGTCGGTGTCTAAACCCTTTCCCATCGCCTCACGGTGTCACCCGGAATGGGCTTCACAACGAAGTGTGAACTCAACCATTGTCCTGTGGCCCACTTGACGGCTACGTAACGAGAGGTCCGACCGAACACCTTTACTTTGCATTTACTGTTTCTATATGTGTGTGTGTGTGTTTACAACAAAGGAAATGCTCCTGGACCCGGGCTCCGCGAGGGGAAGTCCTTTAGGGGACCCTTGACGCGTTGATTGATTGTGTCGGGGAGGAACTCTCAAAAGGCAGGAGGGATAAAAGGAGGCAGAGCGAGAGGAAGTAGAAGTGGTAGTGGTGGAGTGCATGGCAATTGCACCTTGGTCCTGGAAGCCATGAAAATTAAATTTACTCGGGACAATAAATAAAATTTATAAGCCAATTTGTCAGGATGCAGGAAATAAAGACGTATTTTATTGCTATGTAGTGGGGATTGGAACAGCTGGTCACAGGAGGAGTTATAGTTTCGTTATTATTTACAGTTTATTGCTTTAGTTTTATACTTCTTGATTTCTTGATTTTATTAAAAAATAGTTGTTATAGTTTTAAAATATTTAAATAGTACTTTAAATTGTATTAATATAACTGAGTTTAAAGCTCTTGTAGATAATTTGATTGTCATATTGTTTGTAAATTTTGATAATAACAATAAAATACAAATAATAACCAATAGCCAAGGCCCAATCCTTTTCTAAATAGATAGCCATTAAATTTTAAAACCACAAACACACACAGACCAGTAATAAAATCAATTTTATTTGCCGCCGCCTCGTTTGGGGAATTCTCATTTTTATAGCCAAATCCCGCATTGTGACAACCTTTCAGTCAGTGTAATTTCGATTTCCCTTTATTGTCCTTCTCCATTGTCCTCTATATAGGTGAGTAAGGTGGCAAGAAGCGGGCCAAAGGACCTGAGCAGTGTGAATTGTATATACACAAATCGAGAGGGCAATGGCAATGTAAATTGTTGACGCGCATTGAAAGGCTTTGGCTGCTCGAGTGGCTGTTGCCTGTTTGCATAAGCCAGGCCAGGCACAGGCTCAGTCCTGGCCAAATCAAATGAATCGAATGCCGAAGCGACCAAGGCAGAGAGGGGACTTTAAAGAATTGTTGGCACAGGTGTGTTGGTAGTTGAATAAACAGGCGCGACCCCGACGGCGACGTGTCGGGCATGTTAAAGTTGCGGCCGCATATTAAATTACGGCCCACAAAAACTGCCCGATTAAGGCGGTGCTGTCAAGACAAAAACCTTTTCAAAAAACAACAGTAATCGATAAATAAAGAAAAGCAAAAAATATAAACAATTTACGAAACAAAAAGCGGTTAAAAAGAAGCATACTTATTTCTACTTTTTGGGTACCTATTTACCTACTCACTTATTAGAACTATTTATTTAAGTAACTTTTTAAAGCTTTAACTAACTTTTCCTGATTTATAAATATACCAATTACAAATATTTCAAATTTTTAAAAGCCATTTAATAACATTTTTAAGCACAAACCTTTAGCTATAACTTCCCAAAAGTAAAAATAAAGACAAACTGTCTGCACTGCTGGCTGCCTGGACTGACTGACTGACTGACTGACTAGGTGAGGCGTTGAGCAGTCATGTCAGGTGGATTTGGATCGGGGGAGCTGGCTGTCTGTGGCCCCTAGAGTTTAAGCCCGGTCAACCGCAACAAGTGAACGCCCCTTTGCAAATTGTTGCGCATACGCCGCGTTGGCTGACAACGTTACCTACTACGTTGCCGCCGCCTTCCAACGTCAAAGTTTCCATTTTTGTGGGTCATAAACGTAAAATATCTTTATTGTGAATGACGCTTTGAGGTTAAAAATAAATCAGTGCCCGACCGCCACACGGCGTATGCGTAATGCGTAAATTTATATGCCGCTGTCTGCGCGCACTGTGCGTATTTCGGGGATTTTTTTCGGTGTTGTGTGTGTGTGTGTGTGCGTGGGGGTGTTGGAACTTTTATGGCACTGTTGCTGTGTTGTCTTTGCTTTAATTTTGCCGAGTTTCCTTCGCTTTGTTTTTGTAGTCATTTGTGAAAATATTGCCTAACAAAGCGTTAATAAATGAGGCATTTAATTAATTGCCAGGCCAGGGCTGCAATTTAATTATGTAACCTTAGCACCTTCGGGCGCTCCAAGGACTTTAATAGAATTTAAAAGGGGGCTCAAGCAGCAAAGACGCGTTGTCATCGTATAAATGTGTATTTATACGCGTGCAAGAACACTTTGAAAATAAATATGTGCAAACATTATGCTTTGAAATGGTGCTTAAAAATTGTACTTGAAAACCTAATATAAATTTTGCTTAAATTTTTATATTACTTTGGTTTTTATTAAGATACTGAAGAAGAGCATATATTTTGGTCGATCTAATGGGAAATATTTAATAATAAAATGTAATGCTGAATTTATTATAATAAGGATTTATAAGGTGCTAAGCTTTGGTGTACATTTTAAGGCCTTAAAGTGGTCAGTATAGAAAAGTATTCTTACCTTATCTTCTATTTAATATTAACTAATTTTATTCCTTTGAAATAATTGATATGCATACCGTAAATAATAATATTTAAGCATCTTGTGTGCGACAACCCTAATTGACTAATATCTAAGGTTAATTTTCGTCAAGTGTATGGCTTTGCAAATATGAGCGACACAAAAATAAATTGAATTGCATACGGAGGCAAACAAAAGCCGGGATGTGGATGCTACAGTGGGGTAAGCCTCACTTGACAGCTGGTCACAAAAGCCAAGCAGACATAAAGGGGTGAGTTTTGGGGGGTGGCAAGGAGGTTGGCTATGGACCAAGGAGAGGGAGGGGGAATAAGTGCAGACGTCAACACTCAAACGATTGTTGTTTGTGGGTTTGCTTTGGCAAGGAAGTGAGCGAGTTGGTAGCCACAATAAGCAGCAATGGAGCAGCAAACCAAAAAGCAATGTTTATTCTGAATCACACACACATAAAGCTAGGCTAACACACAGGACAAAAAGATAAGAGATTTCTTAAAGGATAAATCATAAATTATTACCATAATCTTTGGGTGTTCTAATAGATATGTGCATTTGTTATAGAATTTATTTGTATATTTAGCTTACTAAAAGGAAGTGGAGCAAATAAATGAAATAATTAGGACATGCTTTCTTCAAAACATAATTCTCAAAATCAAATAATTTAAACTGAAACTAGTGAATTTCAAATATCTATAGTTTTTTCAAGAATTTATGGACCACTGTTTCAAGAGCTCTATTCCCTAAAACTTTGTCAAAAATTCAAGTCAAATTTTAAGTTATTCTCCCCTCAAAAAAATAAAGTCAGAAACACGGAGCGTGATTTTTTCCTAAGTGCGGTTTTCACTTGCCACGCAGCCAGCCAGCAAAATGTTTTCCACCAAAATCGGATACAAACACAACAGAGCAACTGAAACGGCAACGGCGACACCCGAGTTTTCCACGGAGGCGAATCGACCCGGGCTTAATGCTTAAGCCCGCTGCGACAGGACATTTAATCTCGTTGTATTAGAGCTGCTGGTGTGGGGCCGCACGACACGGGACCAAGACCCGAGACCCAAAACTGGAGCTGGTCCTGGCACTGGCACTGGCACAAGGAGTGAGACTTAAAGTGCCTCAAGTGGAAGTCAGCCGTGGCGGAGGAGTCCAAAGGGTAATGCCTATACTTAGCCTGTTGCTGTTGCCGCTTTTATTGTAATTCTAGGAATTGTTATTTCTCCTTTAACAAGCCGAAACCGAATCTCGGTCCTCCATTTACGTTCAGCCAGGAGTCTTTGTCGTTGTTGTTTCTGTTTGCCACGAATCGAGAGATGTCATGGGGCTAATGTGAAATCGTTTCTTTTGGTACTTTTGGCCCTTCGTGTTTCGAGTGTGGAGTGTCGCCTTCCTGAGGTTTTGGCGCAAATTGAAGGCTCGTGAAAAAGTCAGAATGCCAATGCAAATTCTGACACATTCCCCACTTGAAGGCTGTGCCACTGCTCGACTTTCAAATGGAAAGAATCTCGAAATCTCAAGGGCTTGCTTAAAGTCACACTGGCAACTCAAATTTAATTGTATGTTTACTTTGGGGAAATATATTTTCGGAACGCATACTGGTGTGTTGGCTTTCTGACCAACTTGGCTCTCAGTTTCTCAGTTTTTCCGGCTTTGGCTACTGTGTGATTTTCATTACCCTAAGTGCTCTCTGCTGGCCAATGAAATATGAGCAGCTGTTCTGGCCATTGGTCGCATCTTAGTCGACCATAGTGGCATCGATTCAGGCTTGAATTTCAATGCAGTGAGCGAAAAAGAAGTTGGATTTAGCTTAAAATGAAGAAAGACTAACTTAATTGTTCAATTTATACATATAATATTTATTATTCTTAAATATGTATTTTATATGCTTTTCTTACTAAGAAATATTTTTTAGAAGGCTATACTAAAAGTATTATCCAAACAGAATTCAATAAAAGTTTTTTCTCTTCCTGTAAACAAATTGATTGCAACGTGATCAAACAAAATACTAGTCAAATTCAGCTGGAAATGCAAATAGTCATGGCTGGAGTTGAGGTTGGTCAACCGAATCAAATAAGAAATCTTTCAATAAACACACATCCACCAGGATACACACACACACACCATTCAGCACACATATGTAGCTCCAAAGCGGATCGCATATAATGGCGTGAACAAGAAGGCAAAGAATAAACGAAACTAATTTCCGGCCACCGACACAAACAAAAGCGCATCGGACCGGAAATCGAGTTAACCCGCCAGATAAAAGCACCGAAAGATGGCGTCGATGCGCATTGCGTGACTCTAATTAGAGTCAAGATGGCTTTGGGAAAGCGCACAAAAAGGTTTTCATGGGGAAAAAAAAAAGATGAGGTAAAATCAAGGGCACGTTGTGGCTTGAGGTGGGTGGATTCTGTGTGCATGATACTCCGTTTGATATTGCGCAGCGCGAAGTTTTTACAGCCACCTGGGAAGTGAAGCGGAGCAGCTCGGGCGAGGTGATGGCTGCCAGCAAGTTTGTAAATAATGCAGTTGCATGCCACCCACATTACGTGTCGCACAGATACACAGAGGCGAACTTATACAGGACTCCCACGCATACCAATGCACACCCACGCATGCAAAAAAATCCAGGGCTGGCAGCGTAAAATCCTAAAATAACCAAAATTCAACTAAAAATAGGTAGTAGAAATTCCTTTTGAAAAAGTGTGGAAATATATGGCATGACATGGAGTTTTTCTATGTATATTTTTACTATATATATACCAAACTTCTGTGAGAGTATTTGAGATCCCTGAAATACTTCGGACGAAGTCCCATGTGGCAGACAGCAAAGTGCGAAACTAACGACGTGGCCGAAACAACCCAAAATGTTGCTCGAGTGCAGCGATTACGCTTCTTCCGCCGTCTGAAGTCCGTTGTCCGCCTTGGGCGGTCTGCAGTTTTGTTGCACTCCATTTCTCTTGGCTACATGTGCTACCCACCGCCCACTTTTTCTTGGACCTTTTCAGCTTTCCCTCTCCCTCTCTCTCTCTCTCTGTCTGTGTCTCTTAGTTTTCCTCTTGGCCCCATCGGTTGATGGCCATGCAATATTCATATTGTTGTTATTGCTTTTATACGGTCCGCACCTGGGACTAGCGGGTTGTATTCGGTTGCAATGCCATACTCACTCACCTGTCGCGACTATTTTGTGGCTGAATTATAAAAATGATAACCATAAACACAAATAAAGTATACAAATAAAAAACTTCAAGGGGATCTGTGGTTGCTTGAAAGGAGAGGAAAATTTAAGACATCTTTCGGGGGCTTAAACTTCTTTTTACTAGAATGTTTAAATATATTTCTGTTAAAAAATATTTACATATGTATAAGTTAAGTAGTTCTTATTTCACAGTTACCATAAATGTTTAATATATATTGAACATAACAACAACATTTTTTAAAAAATCCTCTACAGAGGCAACCAAATTATTCCGCTGACAGTTTATCTCGTTTTCCTAATTTATTCCTGATTTTTTGTTACCATTTACTTAATTACATATTTAATCTGTAAACCAATACAAAATATATCCTATTACACAGCATCACAATGTCGAATTGAATTACCAGGACTGCTCACTGCCAGGTTGCAGCTGCATTCAGGATATTCAGGATGCATTCCGCATTTGCATTCTGCATTTGCAGGCACTCCGCATGTTTTTATGCATTTTGCAGCGGATAAACATCCATTTGGCCAAAAGAGGGGGCGTGTCGGGAGCGAAAGAGAAATGAGGGAAATGAAAAATGCATTTCAATTTGTGCTGTGCTTTAAAACAAAGACTAATTAATGGTCGTTGCACATCTATGGGTGTCCTCGGCCTCTTGCATATGTATGCATTGCAATCCACGCCTTCTGTGGGCCACACGCCCACATGCACGACCACTCATCCAAATGAAGAGTGGTCCTTTTCGAGGATCCAGGTCTGGTTGCTAGGCCACTCCGGTCACCGAGTCCTTTATTAAAGTGTTTCCTGCATGAAAAGGACATCGGTGGGTGGGGTTAGCTTGTCCAAGTGTTTGCGGAGCTTGCAAAAACGTGGCACACACACACGGATATATGAACATACATATGTGCACTTAAGGTCCCACACAAACACACACACACATACATATATATACTCACACAAACACCCACAAAATGTTCACTGGCTTAATTTCCGGTATGTTGTTCAGCCAGTGAACTAATTAAAAGTTCAGAGGCTACGTAAGATATTGAAGTTCCTTCAGACGAATTTCAAGGCATGAAAAAGGGACGACCTTGAACCTTTTGCTTTACCTTGTTTCATTTTAAATTGTATATTATATATTTTAGTTAATTTAAACTTGTATAAAATAACATTGTATTCTCTGGTATTCATATATTTTTATTTAAAGAAAATATAATGCGGACGAGATGTGATTTGTAGGATTAGAGTAACTTTCAGGGTTATTTTCATTGGAAAAATCTATGTCAACACTAAAATTTAAACCCACACCCCCATCGTGATTCAATTGCCTGCGGTCGTCCTCTGTCTAGTCTTTATAAACTTGACCATATTTTCCCGCAGACAAGGTCGAGGGGAAAACCATCCGAAACTCAATGAAAAATGCTGTTTTCTGTGTGAAGCTAACTGAACATTTTTCCAGCTGCAGCAACGAAAAACCACAAAAACTCGTCATGGCAACGAAAAAGCACAAACTTTCGCCACTTTTCCACATCATACTATATATATTCATACATGCTTGCATGGGGTATAAAAAATGCGAGATAAATTATGAAGCCGGCGAGGTATGCCAGAAGGTTAGCTAAAGCCGATTAACGAAAATTGAATTTTCAATTTGCAATTGATTGCACTCGCCGCAACAAGCAAGGAGAAAAAAGGTCCTTTCAATCCTTTTAAGTCTGTCAGGGGTCCAAAACAAAAGTTGTTAATTTAATCAGGTTAAGTGGGATTATGCTTATTGATTGTCGCTCGAAGCTGGGTATCGATTAAATCTTAAGTTTACCGCAAATCCATTTTAGATTAGGGTTTCCTTTAATTGTCGGATTATTTTTTGTGCAAAGGTAGCAAAGGATACAAGACGATTGTGCATGAAAGTGGTTCCAAGTTGCTTAAAATATAATATTATATTATATAAAAAAATGTCATAACTATTTAATAATTTATTTCTCAAACTTCTAACTTACTCATGAAAAACTCCTGCATCGATACTTGGTAATGCAAATACGAATCACTTCCCTTCCACAGAATTGTATTTCTCAGAAAGGATTTAGTCTCCAATCCACCTGACCCTAGCTACCCATAAAAGCCATGGCTTATTCTCCCAAGTCGTGATTGTTTAGTTTGGTTTTTAGTTTTAAAATAAGGGAAACTTTTGTGCCGCAAATACTTTGACAACTTTGCTGACCGCCGTAAAAAGCTGACAAGCTCGCCGGGAAATCTGTGAGCGGTCGTCGAGAGCGGGGAAATTGTCAATTTGCTTTATCGTCTTAGAAAACCTGATGCCAGTGGAAAGTATACATATATATTTACTTACACAGGGAAAAATTTATTTTTCAAAGTATACAAGAACCTAAAAAGTTTCGAAATTAAAGGAAAAATAAAATGAAAGTGCTATATTGATTTTAAACGTATTTTTAATTTAGTTTAAAAACCTTAAATTATTCGTATAACTCAAGATTAACTAATGCAGAAAATCATTTTAAAATACATTTTAAATCCAGTGTTTTCCCTTACTGAATATATTTTTATTTTCGCTTTTAAATGTGGTTGCTGTTTTCCCCCAGCCTGATTGTCTTATTATTATGCGTTATAAATCGCATGACGGCTGTTAAAGTGACTTTGAATGGTTTCAAAATCAGAACGTATGCAAACGAGCATAAAAAAGCTTTTTAAAAAAGCGCCAACTCACAGGGATACATACACGCACTGGGGATATGAGGATATTTTGGGGGCACTTTTCCTGTTTCTGTTTCTGTCTGTCCCTTTTGAGCATATTTCCCTCATGCTATATACATATGTATGTATGTATATATTCACATAAATATTTTCCACATTTTTTCCTTTCTTAGAAATCAAATTAAAGGTATCCCATGCGTGCCTGTGTGTGTTTGTGTGGGTTTATTATGAAAATGCCATGAATTACTCGCGTATAAAAGTCATCATTAATTTCTCTGTGACGCTTTTTTGACAACCATTTTGGAATTTATTCACTCATTCATAAAGAGGCATCAGCTACAGACATCTTATTGCCCCAGGGGGGCGTGGCCACGCCTACATCCGCTTCCTACTTTCTTGTTTTTCCCCCAGTTTTTTATTGGGCGAGAGGTAAAGAG